CACACACACACACACACACACACACACACACACACACACACACACACTACAGCACTTGATGTTGCCCTTGGTGTTTAGGGTGATGACACTTGATGGCTGACTAAATGACCACTGAATTGCCCGTCAGGTACGAAGGCATTACACCGAGCCAAAGACTAAATATTAACTTGGCCAAACTGACACTCACTGCCAACCCTCCCCGTCTCACAACAGTTTACTCTCTTGCTTCAGAGCAACAAGAATCATCGCAGATTTCTCCTGCATGGACGAGGGGGGAAAAAAAGCATCTCACTCTTGTTTACTCCCCATCACTCACTCTCTGTTTTCTTTCTGCCTTTCATTTCTCTCTCCCACAACCAATTTCTTCCAACTCGTTTCTCACCTTCTGCCTCTAACTGTCTTGAGTCTCGGTATCAATCTCCAGCTACGTCTCTCCCTTTGGAATTAATCTGAGGAGTCTTTCCTGATCACCAAGGTTCATCTTTCTCTTCCCCCCTTCTCTGAATTATTTCTCAATGCACAAGATTAAACTCCCACACTCGGGCGAGGAGGCGATAGCAGAGGTGGATCAGAGAGGGGGAAAGGGAAGGATGGGAAAAGACAGAGAGAACAAGGGTTTAGCTGCAGTATGTTCATCGGAAGCTGTCAGCTGCGATCTACTTCACGATGCATCATCTGGGTTTCTCTGCCCGCTGCCATCTTCACCAAATCCATTTTTCTCTTTGTTGTCCATCCTCTTCTTTGTCTCCTTTAACCTTGTTCTCTTTTCCTCCTCCTCCTCCCGTTATTCACCTCTTTTCCCTTTCTGCTTACTTCTTCTCATCTTCCAACTCCTTCACCTTCTTTTCTCTCATTCTCTCTCTCTCTCTGCTCACACTCTTTAATGAGAGTGTGGGACGTGCGGTGGGAGCTTCCCCTGAGCAGGAACCCTGCTGAACGTTCCAGTGTTCTGTGAAGCTCTCTCTCTCTCTCTCTCTCTCTGTGTCCATGAGACGGATCCATTTCATAAGCACATTTACAACCTGCCCGCTCTTCTGCCAAATTGCTCACGGGGCTTAAGTGGTGCCAAGGTTCACCTTCCCTTAAACAGGGAATTCATCTAACAACGTGTTGGGGAGCCACAGAAAAAAACAAAAAGAACAAAATCAAGTAATTTTGGGTGCTGATCCAAGACAGATCATAACAGTGAGTGAGGATGCTGGCTGATGATCATGGCTGGTGAGGAGAAGATGAGCTGCTATAGTGATGTGGACTATAAGGGGACCTGGAATCCTGACACTGGTTGTGTAGATTTATAGCAAGCCCTGAGGTAGAGGAAGGCCACCGTGTTGAGCGCACAGCTGGATGGAAAAGAGACTCGTAAAACTATCAGGGAGAGATGCGTGATGATGTTCACTTGTACATGCGTGCAACCCCTGCTGCTCAAAAAGGAAATGTTTGTGTGAAAGGCTCAGACTTTACATGGTGAGCAATGTGCATGAGATTTGAAAATGTGCTGTTGAGTTGCCCGTTTATAGATCGGGGACTTTTTAAAAAGGTTATCTACAAATCTCAACGTGTTTATGGACACATATGCCTTTACCTCCATATACACAGAACAGTATTCAAACTCTACCTTCACCAGTTCCCCAGGAGGAATAAAGCTACAATGAATAACGTGGGTCATCTTGCAAATTGACTACAAGAGCAACCAGGACGCAGTGCACACCGTTCTATTCTTTAGAACCAGTACCAGGTCCAGTATCGTGCTCGTGTATTCGTACTCGTAAAAGTACTCAGATATATCTGCACCCGATACCGCTACGGCAACCTGACGTCAACCACTTGTCAGTTGAGCCTAATCATTTATCGCCAACTTTGAGCGACGTGCCGCTCCTCCGAGCAACTGTTTTTCAAAATATTTTTAACATCTTGTAATTGTTTAACTGATAGCAGGGTTAAAGCACTCATTATTAACAGCCGTACTAAAAAGAGTTATGCTCCCTTTGCATCAGGAAAACACAATGACATGTTTATTTAATTTGTTACAGTCAGAGTGTTAGGAATGAAAATAAAACATTCTTTCAAAACTGTAGTTAGAAATGTTAGGGTATCATTATGTACTCATATCAGTACTTGGTATCAGCAAGTATTCAAATGAAGGTACTTGTGCGAAAATATATTGAATCAGTGCATCCCCAAATATCTACTACAATATTTGACCAAATCTGTAACATACATCACGGTCAGAAATAGTGCTTTGACAGTAAACAGTTCTCTTGCGTTTTATCATAATTTCCATGTGTCTATTCTCTCGATTGTTAAAATTCCATCTGTGGTGAATGTCTACGCAGATGGAAGGATAGTGCAGGGGAAGTTTCACTCACATGTCCTCAGGTGTCCAATGTAGGAGGACCTTCACCTTGCCGGACCCCTCTTTCCTTTTGGCCACCACCTGCACGGAGACAATCAAGCAGAAACACAAGCTGAGCAATAAAAAGACACAGCGAGCGCTCAGAGCCAAAGAGAAATACTACTCCCGTCCTCGTGCCGTCAGTGCGTCTCCGCCGTGCTGTTGGCCTAGCCGAGTAACCTCTAACCAGCTCCACCAATGGAAAGTAACCAGCAGAAACAGACACAGACGTATCATTTAACCTACATTTGATGGTTAATCCCAAAGACAGTTTACAAGCGTCAGATTAGCATAAATGTGTTGGGTTTGGCTGCTGTTGCAGCATTCTCCCTCGTCTGTTGAGAACGGGCTTCAAAGATATGCCCCCCCCCCCCCCCCCATCTCTCTGTCGAATAATGAGGCTACACGCTTCAAACATCTCGCAGAGTGATACAGTGGCTGATCATTACACTAATAAGCAATGTGAGCACTCTTAATAATGCATGCAAGAGCTCAGTGAGGTTTCTATTTTCAACAGGGTCTATCTCACACTCCCCTGCAACACAGTGCAAGACCGAGAAATTTAAATCCGAAGCATCCGGACCTCACCGAGAACTGCTTATCGCGGCTAACATCGAGCAAAGACGGTAGACACGGGCAACACAGGGAGCAGTTATCACCGAAAACAAGTCTCTGGTGCCGACAGCAGACGCTTTATCGCTTTGGACAGGAATGCTTCTGGTGACCGGCACCCACCGTCTAACATTTGCTTCAGTAACTTTATAAGTTGTGTTAATTTTATCGGTTCCCTGGTTTGACTACTTAAAACAGCCACAAATATCAAAGTCTTTCTTCTTGTGAAAATACAGTTGAGACAATACCCGATTTCCTAAATAGTCGGCCCTCTTCATGCAGAACAGTTTCATCTGTCATGCTGTGTTGGTTTACAGTAAGACTGGTCTGGAATTCACAGACATATTGTCAGAAGGGGGGAAAGTAAAGCTGGACAAATAACCAGGAGCGTCAAAAATAGCCAGAGACGCAACCTTTTGCGTCAATTGGCTCATTTTTTTGTCAGGAATGTCTATTTTTAGGATATGAGCTCACGTGTGAAGAACTTCGCTTACGCACATAAATGTCTGAAATTATTTCTGGGAAACGGCTGCGGCATTGATGGAAACGGGTTTGAGGACGGAGGGGACGAGGCTGCACGGAGAGGAGACACAGACCTAGAATCGCTCTCGTCCTATCGCGTCTCTTTCCCTTTGTCCTGCTGGGGATTGTTCATGTTATTTGTCTCTTCTGTACTTTCTAAACTAGTATGTCAGAGAATACCCTCCTCCCATGCTGCGTGAGGAGGTGGTTTCATTTTGATAAGCTGCTGTCTGACACAACTCACACATTATACTTTGATCAATCCACTAGCAGATATGAATGTTGTGGTTGTTGTTGGCTCGGTGCCTTAACGTTTGTCTGTGAGAAGCTTAACAAACAGCAGCCAAGTTGGCAAATCAAGCCTGTTGTTGCCTCTTGTGCTCAAGCAGAAAACTGGAAAAGAGAAGAAGAAGGCAGAGCAGCAACAGCAGCAGCAGTGAGGAGACAGTGAAATGATTCCAGCTTCTCACACTTAAATAGAAATAGTGTTGATGTGAAATCTAAACATATAAAAAGAAATGTGGGTACCACAGTTTGTGGTGATTTCTGCATCGTTACATGCAATTAAGTAACCGGTAGAGTTTCTCTGCCATGTATACGGGAAACCGGGTTTCTAATCAGCTTGCTCAATATTCATCTCAACTCACCTCTTAAACTTCAAATTATATAATCATCTCTCCAGCATAACTATTTTCAGTGCATTCTCAATTTTCTTTTTTAATGAATTTGATAGATTTTATGTTCACAAACAAAACTTCTGTAAATCTCCACCTAGTGTGCTGCCTTACCTTCCAATGTCTCCTGTTCCCACTACGCCAGGTGAAGAATCACAAAAGTGTTCTACAATGATCTCAACATCAATACGTCATTATAAATAGAATCTCATATGTAAATACACAAAGATCTTTTACCGTATTTTTATTGACTCTTTTAAATTTGGATTGTGTTGTTTAACTGTATATATACAAGTACTGTAGTATATTTATAGTGTATTCTACTTGATGTAATTCACTGTATTTGATATTTTATGTTCATTAACTGCAAAAAGAGACCCGTCTTTGACGTTTCCAAATCAATCTTTAAAAAGAAATAAAAACTCCTTTCCAGCTTCTCAGAGCTTTAGTCTCGCCTCATACGTGAACATCGTCGTTTTGCTCTTGCTTATCTGCCTCTGCCTTCATCTGCTGGCTGCTGCTGCTGCTCCACGGTGGACCAACACGTGGGTTAACTTCTCAGAGTCAACAACAGAGGCTCTCTGCAGCACCGTCCTGAATCCTGTGCTGGCTGCAACAGGCCCTACAGTACACGTCTCAGGGCTAAGACTCCGTGCACCAGCAGCTGCTTCACTGCCCTTTTAATTAAAAATGCAGAGCTTTTAACCCGTGCGTGCCCCCGGGCTACTCACAGCACCAGGTTAATGATCACAAGCTCAGGCTACACCTGAACAGGCCATGACCGGGCCTGAAGATTAAGAAGGGGGCTTGTGTTTAAGCAGCATGAAGTGATTTGTGAGCCGAGTGGTTTGATGATGGCAGTTGGTGCTTTAAGGGACAGATCTTTATCCTCTATAGACCCGAGAGAGGGAGGGAGGAAAGAGCCAGGGGAGAATAGGGAGTGAACATTAGTGAGGCTCCGAAGCGAGCCAGTGAAAACTGCAGGACCGAAAGCCGGGGGAGGGCCGGCCTGCTAAAAGCGGGTGCCTGTCTAGTTTCAGGGGGTCAAGCTGTGGATGACGCAGATTGGCGCAATAACAAAAATATCCCATCATAAACACGGCTGAGCTGCTCTGGCATGTCAGCAGGCCCACTGGCCAAACTCCACAGAACCCCCACAGCTCTACTCCATCTCCCCAGGCCGGGGAGGGTCCGCTGGGGCCCGGGGTCTGACGCAGCGCCGCAGTCCTTCTCCACCACAATCCTCCCGGGACCAGAGAAAAGGAGAATGTATGCCCAACTGGCCAGATCTCCTTCCGATTCCATGACCCTGAACTCCACTTAACCCCCTTTTCCTGGTGCTCTCTCCCCCTCCCCTGGCTGGCTCTTCCTCCCTCTCAGTCTGTGTCCAAATATGTGGTTACCTCTCTTAACCTCTTCCCAAGCTTTATCTTCACTTGCTCTTTTTTGTTTTTCTTTCCTCAAAGCTTTTCTTTTAAAATTCTTGGCTGCTGGTGAGCAGTTGAGGTTTGCAGGGAGCAGAGCGAAGCAGAAAAGAGTTGACTGAGCTGATCACGGGAGTGAGGAGAGCACCGGTGTCAACACTCTAATTACACTTTAAAAAGGAACAGAAGCATCGACAGCGAGTTCGCCTAAAACGGCACATTTTCAGAAATTGCTTGAATTATTTGGGGTGGAAATCTCTTTTTAATGGGAAAGAGATGCATGAAGTGGCTTCATGGTATTCCGTTTGCATGCATTAGAGACACCCGCATTACCTGCAAGCTATTCACACATTTCCAATTTTATTACAATAACTAAGATTCCAGAATACAGTCTGTGATCTCGATAGTCTGTCTTTGAGTAAAGTCAAAACTACAGGTGCTTCATTGTCAATAATAAACTATAGTTTACTGACTTCATTGTGACAATATGATCTTCTTCTGGTATGGCGTTTTGTTTTTCTGTGAATTTATTTTGTAGAAATGTATGATTCCACAAGCAAGCTGTCCTTAAAAATCCAACAAATGAAGAAATGTGTCTCATGTAACGGTGGATTCCTGTTCTTTGCTGTATTACGTGATTTTGTACACATTTGCCATATTGTGATGTATATTGATATCAGAAAATATCCTTTAATTTGATTAACTGTAGACTACCCTCCCACCTCTGTGTGCATGTTTGTGTCTTCAGATGCAGAGTCGGTGGCTTAAATCACACGTGTGGTGCTCTAGGAGCTTCTCTCAGAGGAGAAAATGATTCTGAGCACACTAACTGTTTCAGCTGTGTGAGCTGGTGGTAGCACGCTATCATAGCGCTGCACATTAAATGCATCATTTATATATGCGTTAACTCACTGGGGGGAAAACAAACAAAATAACCTAATTTACTCTACAGCGGGGTAGAAGCAGACAACACAGGCAACATGTCTGCTCTTTCCTAGTGGAAAGAGATGAATTGTCTCCGACTAAGAGAACATTTCTGTACGAATATGAGAGACGGTGCTGAGAAACCGGAGGATGTCCCGTTCATCTTTCCACCGTCCTGTAACGTGGGGGTCTTGAACAGGGGATAGAGCGCTCCCTAGTGGAACTGCCCGGGAAAAGCAGTCTTTCAACAATAATCTGCCATTCTCACCGAGATGTCATCGCGGTTCAACCTCCCTCAATAACTCCTCCTCTCTTTGAAGCCGTCGTCAGTGAGAAAAGTAGAATCTTTCACCGGAGAAAAAAAGAGCTCATATGTTCCCTCAACAGAAAAAAGGTGCAAAGGCATTTTAGAGCTCATTAATGATGTATCACGCACCGGGCTCAGAATGGGCCGAGCACCGTACACAGAAACTATCCCATTGTCTTTCCTGTGAAGTGTGATTCACAGGAAAACAACATCGAGCCTCAGGGGCGACTCTCAAGGTTCACTTCAAGTGCACTCACAGAAAAGCTGCAGTGTCTTCAAACAGTGATTCTATCACGCCCCCTGCTGTCTGATAATGAAACAACAGAAGATAAGACATTTAAAAAAGAACTATTGTGAAAACAATCTCATGCTAAATGATGAGGCAGGTTTTCTTTTTACTATACATACAATGGATTAAAATAAACACAAACACGGTAAGCACCAACAATAAGCTTCATACGTCTAACAATGTCTCAATAGATGCTTTGTTTTGTCTGCTGAATATCAGCGTTATGTCGGTGTTTATGGAGCACCGGAATACTGACCCCACTGCCACCATATTATGCATACAACTCATTGACCCTTGAATACATAAAGATGTCACTTATAAACAGAATGCTCATTGTTTCAGGATATGTTGAGCCTCTGTGAGGTGGAGTTTTTAAATGTAAGATTTCAATACAATTAAAAGTCAACCGTTTGAGCTTTCTAACTTGAAGTAGCCTTAAACTCAATGAATAAAAATGGTATTTATCATTATCACAAGTCAAATGTCTGGTGAATCTAAAATAAGCAGTTTTCATATTTTAGTTAAATTCTGTTTCTGCATTACAGTTCACCTTCACCAGAGCATCATTCATATTTTTGCCAACATTCTGAACAGATTCATCTGGCTTTCTCTACCATAAAAAAATAAACAACAAATAAAAGAGAACGCATCCTTCAACCCTCGTCTCTGAAGTCCCTCAGCTACTTGCTGTATTTGAAGCCATTGAAACAAACAGGTAGCCGGAGGCCATCCACACTAAAGTAGTGAAGCTGCACACGGACTCACCGTGCTGTTGAACACCACACTGTGGCCGTTGCCCACACTTTCGATGTGGGTGGCCAGGTTAAGGCAGATGGCCCTGTGGCGAATAGCGTCCATGGTTTGGGCGTCAAAGAAGTCGTGGGGCCTCGCTGCAGGAGGAAGACAGCAGAGAGCAGAGTCAAAACAAACGTAACATCAGGGTTCCCACTGTGATCCCATGTACAATGACTTGATAACCATAACTACATCAGAACCATCTCATGAATCAAACATGTCATTCCTTTCTAATTTTTAAATGTTGCTTTGCGGCGACAAAGACCAAAAGGTGTTGAAGAAATAGGTACAACACATGTGGTGGTGACATTCCTGTGGTTTAGTGCTTCACCGCACATATTCAGTGCTAAGGAGACTCAGACAGCGTGACATCTCAACTAATAAGAAAGTGCATTTAGAAGGATAAATAATATCCCAAACATCGGCTTCATAGTTGATGTTGACTTTGTTGAATGAATGTAGCTAAAGGCTATCCAGGAGGAAATCAATCTAAACGTGATGCTTCAAGTATGTTGTTACTGATGGACTGAAATATGCAAAACTACTGGTGTGGTCTCCTAATGACCATATCGACCTTCAACTAAAATTGTAAAATTCACAGTAATTGGAGATATGCGGGAAACTGCAACATGCTATTTGTATGTAATGTAAGATTATAATCTCACTTCACACACATTCAGACAGTAAAAACTGTGATTGCTTGGATCCCGGGACAAGAAGAGGTGTACAAGTAGAAAGAAAGGACAGTTTGAATAATGCAGACACAGGCCATCTGAGGCAACACGTTCAGTATCAGTATCAACGTGAGCACGAAAGCATCGGCTGAGAGAAACTATGCGAATGGACTAACAAAAAAGCTCTGAAATGCAGAACACGGCCACGGGGAGGATCTGCCTAGCTGGCAGAAGCGTCTGCACCAGTTTATGTGCGAGCTGTCCAGCTCTAGCTTCTCCAAAAAAAAAAAAGGTTAGAAGCTGAACAACAAACATGGCAGTAGCTACAAAACGTGTTCAGCTTGTAATCACGACGAGAAACACTTTGAAATGAGGTTAGCTTGAGTGCCTGTGAGGTACGTACGTAGGGAGCACCTGCGTTTGTTCTTGAGTTTCTTCCTCTTGTTGAGTCCGGCCTTGGAGGGCGACTCTTCCTTGAGTTTGGCCTGGCTGGACATTTTGGAGGAGCTCTGCTGGCTGAAGTGACTCGGCACATGGCGAGCCAACCCTCCTTGGGAAGCAAAGCTGGCGTTGCAGCCACCAACGACACACTGCAGCAGAGCACAAAAACGCAGCACATGTGGTATATTTGCCACAGAACAGGACAAGACAATTTTGGAAACACTACTAACACATTTTGTTTTAGTTAATGGCATGGCAGAATAGGTAATGCATTCCACACCAACACACACACGAAAGGGAAAAATGTGCACGGCATTTGATTTACCTTGAAGGGCTTGTCTCCACTGTGGGTCAGCATGTGTCTCTGGAGCCAACTCTGACTGGTGGACGGCGTGTTGTACACTTTACATCCCTTCCATAAACACACAAACACCTGAGGGAGGTGAGAGACGGACATGAGGAGAGGAGAACAGTAGGCTTGGTTAGCTGTGAGACGGGTTACTGGACAGACAGACAGATTGAGATTTCTTTAATTATATCCGTCCTCGACTTTCTTGACTGCACACTCCAGGTGGAGGAGGTCCAAGTAGAAAGTACTTTCAATACCTTTGAACAAACTCTTTAATACTCATATGTTGCCTTTGCAGCGAATCGTTCGTCTCTGTCTTGTCTATCTATCTTTGGCTACCTGTCAGACAGAAACAAAAAGGAGATGAACATGGAGTTTGTTTCTACCGACCCCTCCTCTCTGTCCATCCACGTGGATGCCTCTGATGTGCTCGGCCAGATCAGGACTGGAGTTGAAGCACTGCGGACAGAGGTCCCAGCAGCAGGAGTAAGCCACCGTCTTCGCCCCGGAGGAGCTGACACTGCTCTGTCCGTTCATCATAGCGGGGGTGGAGCGCCCACTCGACACCGTGCTCTCCATCTCCATCAGGGTGCTGCTGATACTGAGGGAGGAGAGGGGGGTGTTGTAGAGAGAGAGAGTGAGATGAAGGAGAAGGATATAAAACATGGGCGCTGAGGCCATCGAGAGTATCTTCACAGCTCAGATCAGCTTTGCAGAGCCGTGAAGAACAGGTGCAGATATTTCAAGGCACATTAAATAGTTACTATGCCTTGAAGCCTTCAGGCTGCAGCTGATTATCCATGCATCCCACTTCCATCATCATGTCAAATCAATTATATTGTTGTATTCGCCTAGGACTAGATTATTATCTTACTGTGCTGTCAACGTCACAAAGGGGCTCATATGCATCACTCATTCAATAAGTCACTATTACTTGTCATCATTTGTAGTCCAATATTTGGGCTGCAGTTTCAGTAATTGGATCAGTACTCACATTTCGATAAATGTACTTTTCAGTGAAGTTGGGAACAGATTGCATCCAGCAGACAAAGTTTTGAAATATATATATATATATATACATATATACATATATATACACACACACACATACATATATACATATACATACATACATACATACATACGTACACACACACACACACACACACACACATTTGTATAATTGCAAATACAGAGACTCTGGATCGTCCAATGAGGGAGAAGGAGGAGATTTTTTTAATTAAGTATTTTGATTTGATTAACGAACATTTTTGGTTCGTAACATACTGAAGTGTGTACTTATTAGGTCACTAATTAGCCAATTGTTATCGCGTGCTCGTGCAAAGATGGGGATGTAATAACAAACGTTGCCATCGTGCCTAACTGTTACATTAATCCCTCCACTGATCAACAATAAGCGGTCACTTCATCGACCCACCTGTCCTCCGAGTCCATGCGGCTCAGCGGCTCACCATCCGAGGAGGAGATCTCCACGCTCGGCCGCCTCTTGTCGCCCAGCTCCCCGCCCCCGCCGCTGGCTTTCTCAGCATCTTCACTAACTGTTTTGCTCTTTTCGCAGTTTATCCCCGAGCACCGGCTACCCTCTCCCGGTTCCTCCTTCGCTTCTTTCAATGCGTTATCGACGGCAGGTCCGTTGTTTCCTTCTCCCGGCATTTCCTGTAATATCTCCATCTTTCGCTCCGGTTCTTCGGGAGCGGCGGTCGCCTCCTGGTTCAGCGTCACAGCGCCGTCGTCTGTCACCGCCTCGCTCGAGGCCTTGTCTGCCGCACCAGCGGGCTTCTTCTCTTCGCCGGCCTCCGCGTCCACCGCTTCCACCTTCGGCTCTACGCTACCGCCCGGTTCCACCGTTTCCGGTTCGGTGCGGCCCTCGTCTTTCCCCTCGTTTGTCTCTACGGGCGGCGCGTCGTTCTCAACGCTCAGCGCGGTCGCTTCTTCTGTAGCCGCGGCAGCCATTTCAGCGGCGTACGTGCCCGTGAGACACTTTCGGTATCGAAATTTTACCCGTGGCACCGACAAGCGCTCCACTGCAGACGAAGGGCTGGGTCAAGTCCCGCTGTCTGCTCTCTGATTGGTCAGAGGCGGCACGAGGAGGAGAAACTCTGACGTTGGTATTTAAACTTTCCATGTGTTTCCAAAACACACACGCAGCTTCTTATAAATATGGAGATCTGCGTTTACTACAGTTTAGTTTTAGTAGAACAGACAGCATACTTTAACCAATGCTCTAATGAAAAACAACTTTTAGGTTCACAGCCTAAAAAGCCTGCGAAGAATCTGAACCGAAATCAATTTATGGGCATTTTATTAACATTTATAACTCCTGGATGGCTCGTTTGAGAGTTTTAAACCAACAATCATGTTTTAATATATATTTATTACTAACCCAAACAATGCTGGACTGCCAACTGAGCAAAGTGGACTATTGGCCTCCAGGAGCCCCAAACCAGTTAATCTCATGGTTACTAGGACATATAGATAATTCCCCCCCCCCCCTCCTTGTACAGCATATTAAAAACATGTCAGGGACAAATTGTATGTTGTGTTTATGTATGTATGACAAATACAAGCCGAGGTCTTATTCGGGCTCTGTGAAATTGAGCTCGGGTAAAGACGAGGTCTCCACTACCATAAATACTGTGTACAACATTACTGTAAAATACTACTAATGTTGCAGCTGCAGAGTGACCACAGGAGGGAGCCACAGTTCTATATTTAAACTAGCTGTCACTTATTATGAGGACTTTAACCTCCATCTGTACCCTACAAATGACCCATTTTACCTTCGATTATATCCGATGATACTGATCGTTTAATTTATAAGCCCACTATTGATGCATAAAACGCAATTTTTAAGACGTGCAATATAAAATACCCTTTTCAATACTGTGTTAAATGCGTTCAGTCCTGAGTTATGTTAGCATGCTATTTTGCTGTATAAGTGTTCCAGTAGCTGACCCTGAGCTGATGAACACGAGTGAGCTTTATTCTCAGCTTGTCCACTACCGCTGGCTACAAAGGTGGTGAAAAACAAAAGCCAACCTCTTGTTAAGAACAGCAACATTTATTTCACATGATATAAAACAGATGGGATATGAACAATTGCAAATCAAATTTAGTATGTAACCATATGTTGGATACACCCCCCCCCCCCCCATCCTGCTGTACCATGTACATTATATACACAGTAAACCTCTGATAATTACACTTTGTACACACACAATCCTGGATCCACAAGCAGTTTCTTTGTTATTGCTTTTTTTACATGTGCTAATCTTTTTTTTTTTCTCCTTTAGTTCCAAGTCTTCAAACTAACATTTCATAAAATAGAACCAAACTTAGATTTTTTTCCTTCTCTCAGTTTAAATATATCTCTCGGCAATACAAAAAGAAGACAGTATAGAGTGACTGAAACATTCACATATGTGTCGGCAACAATGCGACGGGGACTACAGAAGATCCCATTTTTAAATAATTACAACCCAGAAACAGGAAAAATTACAAATAATCTTGGTCTGCAGCAATAAAGTGGCTCCTCCTTTCACTATAATGGAGGGATCTACATCGCTTATAAACTCCTCTTTCCCATCGACAAATGTTCTTTGCAATAAATGGATAAATATGAATGTTTAGTTAATGACTGATGTCTGCAAAAACAAACTGAGCGACTCGTAAAAGACTAAAATCATCTGGTAAATGTAAAATTATGTGAACATATGTTTTTGAAACTTTTTTCGGACAGATGGTGAAACGTGAATGGAAAATGTGGCCAAAACATTTTGTCGCAAGACCCTTAAGCTAACAACAGAGCTCAGTCTATTAGCCTCATATATATACATATATAGACCAATGTTGGCCCACATTCAAACAACAACCTCATAAAACCATATAAATAATGAAAATAACCTTAAAAACCTTGCAAAAACTAAAATAAATGGAACTGCAACAATAACAGTATCAAGCTGAATTCTGTGGCGAGCTGAATGAACAGAGAAATGTCACAGAGAACGTGTTGTTGGTGGCATAAGAGCTTAAGACGTCACAGTGAGCATACAGAAGTCAGAGGTTAATAACCCAGAGTCGGCAGTTACACTCTCTGTAGGCTGCGGCCTTGTGCTGACGCCCTCGGGGGAAGTCTTCAGGGGCATCTTCACACCTCCTCTGCTGTTTCCTTCATGTGTAGGTTCTCACTGAGGCCAGAGCCTGTGCTGTAGAGAGAGAGAGAGAATGTGAGACTGTTTTAAAGATTAAATTATGCTCCAAAGAGAATACCAGACAAGGGATACGTGACATAGTTCCCCTATACACTCAGCGAGCTAAAACAACTGCCCTAAAGTCAACTTCCATCATGCCGATAATATTCAGGTTTGGTTGACTCCTTCATGAAGGTGTTATACTTATACTGTACCTCATACAAACACATCACAACGCCCCCCCCTCATACTTTTACATAACTTCCTGTCGATCCCTTCATTATGACATCGAGACAACGGTTAAAAACACTTTAGCATTGTGAGTATGGACAAAACAGGTTGATGAAGGCCCTTACTGGTGCTACTACACACACATGAAGTGAGACCCATCAGTGAGTTGAGGGGGTGTGTTAGGAGGCTGTGGAAGGGGTGAGGAAGAGGGCGACACAGGGCTTTTCACTGGAATGAAACAGAGCGAGATGTCCAACACACGCAGGCAAACACAAAATAACAAAGACACATCGCATCTGCAGCTAAACAGCCAAACAACACAGAAAATAATCACTGAAGTCAATGAAACTACTGGAGACACTACGGAGACTACAATGATAAATGACTGAACACAAAGACAATGGAAGCAGTTTGATGAACCACATTGAACACAAGCTTTTGTTTCACCACATGCCTCGTTTGATCCCCTCCCTCTTCCCTCCAGAGACGTACCTGCTACCAGCTTGCTGCGTTTGGAGGCCTCTGCTGCCAGCTCGTAGGAGATATTAATCATCTTCTCTTTCTCCTGCACGGTAACCTCCACTTCAGTCTCCTCCTCGGGGCTTAGGGGCAGCACATTCTGCATGCTGGGAGAACAAATACACATAGGAAATGGTCTATGTAATAAGCAGTATACAGCTTCATCTGTAAAACATAGTTTCAGAACAAACACAAGTACCTCGGGACAGAGGAACTAGAAATCAATTCAAGAGGGCTGACATTCAGAATGAAATGTCACAGTGGCTCAGAGATGAGGGCATTTCTGAACATCTGAGGCACTGATCTGCATGGGAAGAGCAGGCATCTATTGTGATGCCGTGACCCTCACTAACCCGAAATACCAGCACTCACCTGCAAAGGTAGCCTCTTTGTCCAAAGAACCCATACCTAACATCAATGGTCTGAGCAACCGTGTCCTTGTTAAATCAAAAGTTCCGTCTACAGAAAGATCACGATGACTCGTGTACCTGTTTTTGGCTATGAGGGCTTTGATGCGATCAACTTTCCTCTGCTTATCCGCCTCCTGCTCAGGGCTCAGAGCCTCCTCGGGGTCTGACTCCACATAGCGCTCAGGAATCAGCACTTTGTCAGGCACAGAAAGCTGAGGAAACACAAACACTTCACATTGCACACTTCATACAAATGAATGGGATATTACATGCTTCACCAGTAAAAGAAAGACTCCACAAGCTGAAAAAAATGCAGATAGAAATCTGAAATTGATGCGCACAGAACATTTATAAACAAATAACAGATGATCGTCATCGTTATCATCAGTACAGGGAGCCTGTTCCACGTTCTCATTTGGCTGTGTACAAACTCAATGGAGCGTCACCGCAGGATTTGTCCTCGAGCGAGAAACACTTAACGTGAGACATTCTGCAGCGTGCGGAGATCAGTTGGGAATTCTATTGATGTAATCCAGAGAAAAGGGCGTGACCTCTCATAAAGACACAAGAAGTAACTTAAAATCAAGTGTGTGGCTTAGAGGCAGCCTGTGAAGAGATTTATAGTATAAGGAGTATTTATAGTCTCATGCACATGCCTCTGGGATAATTCCTGCCTACAATGTTTTGCAACTTTGCTTTTTGGTAGATTGATTTAAAATGTAATTATAATGAAGTAATTGATTTCTGTGGAAGGCCTGTAAGTATGTAAGTAAGTGTGATATTAAGGTAACAAGATGTGTTTTAATGTGTTTTTACTTGGGTATGCTTATTTAATTATTCCACTAAAAAAACAGAGTAGTGGTATTGAGAATCAAATCCACACTACTTGAAGTGATTTCCTAAATAATTTGCGTGTGATAATATTAGCCCTCTCAGTGTGATGAGTCACCTGTCGGTCCATATTTAAGTGGTCATCCAGCGAGGCTTCTTTGAGACGGGCGATCTCCTCGGCAGGCGTCTCCTGGTCCCTCACCACCTCCTGCTGTCGGAGTGAGGCCTCCAGCATTTGAATGTCACTGCACATCCCCTCTTCTCTGCGCCTCGTTTGGGACTAGAAGGGACAAAAATGCAGAGGGATTGGTTCACATGACATGAATTGGAGGATTTGATATCAGCCTGCTCAGAACTTAAGTCAGCAGTCCCCCAATACCTGCATGCGAAAGTGGTTTTCCTTCGTAAAGGAGTGACTGCGAGAGGGCGTGTTCTCCTGGCTGCCACCCCGGATGTGGAGACCTTTCTTTTTCTCCCTGAGGGCGCCCTGCTGGTGGCGGCGGATTCTGTCCAGCTGCTCCTCCACGCTCATCCTGGGCCGCCCGCTTTCCGCAGCGCACAGCTGCTGCTCCACCGCGCTGCGAGGACGCTCCTGTTGGCCAGAGAGGACGACCACAGACATGCAGACAGGAAAAGGGACAGAGAAACACAAACAACACACACACATACATAAAAGTTAACACTGTAGCATGCTAGGAGGACAAAATGTCACTACTGCTACGTTTTTTACGACGCAGAGCCACAGTTTGGGTGTGTAGCTAAGTGGCGTCATAGTGCGGTTGGGTCAGATCTCATAATGAAGCGGCTTTTGCAGAGTATACTAGCTACTGTTAGAAAACAGTCTCAATGTGACCAAGTGGACTAATCACATCTTCTCTGCACGTACTGGAAAAAAAACAAAGTAGTCAGGACTGACATAATAACCACAGTAATGAAAAGTGAAACGCTCTTTACTGTTCACGCTCTTAGAACCGAAACCTGACTGGCTGCTGTGCACACATGGGTGCACTCACAGAGGCTGGGGGTCTATTAATGCCGGAGCAGTACAGCTGATGATGTGAAGTGAACCGAGGAGAAGTTTCAGGTTTATGCAATGCCATAAGGGGGTTGGCAGATCTGGGTTCAGTCCAGAGCCCGAGGACGCAGCTTCCACTGTCCAGATTGTCCAAGAGGCTCGTGTCCTGCGGGGCCCGAGCTGTGACACACTCATTTACAACTATAGGCTATGTGGCCCACAGGGAAGACCACAGTTCTGTATGTGTGCTCAGCTGACAAGTTCACGTAGGTTCATTTATTCTATATGTCCATCATTTTTCCCCCAAACACAAACACATACAGACACACCCTACAGTGTGGTGCACTAATGACGCGGTTAGTATATTTAAGTTGATCGTGTTGGAGGCTGGAAACTGTATAAACCAAGCTTGGCATCTATTTCATGACGGCCTGGTTTTAGGAGCATGAGTCACACCCGGGTCACGTGATGACTGCCACATGTTAACGTTCAACCAACGGCTTAATAACCAGAACCACCAAGTAAGTGGGAAGTAAATGCAATTCGAGTGGTGGCCAGTTTGCTGTGACCACACGAGGTTTACACTGACGAGAAAAGAAAACAAGAGCAAAAAGCAATCATCATCATTATTATTATTGATTTTCTACTGCTTAGAGACAAAGATGGTTTGCCACACAGAAGAATAGGTTTATCACTTCTTACATTTTAAAGGTAGTTCCTGAGAACTGATGGCAGCACATGGGGGTCCTTGCTGAGAACTCTTTATAGTTACCATTAGACTCACCGTCCTGAGGTCTGGCCTCCTGCTCTTCCTCAAGGTAACATAAGACGCTATGGAGGAGGACTCAGGCACTGGAGATCTGGTCCTGGGTGGGACAATGCCAACTGGGTAGGACATCCCTAGCAGGGGAAAGACAAGACCTGGTTCAATGACAACACATCCGTAGCAATTCACTGAATAGTATACCATATTTAATTACAATATTATGAAAAGTCATAAGCCTGTACTAAAAAGTATGATCATCTCCTCATCAGTTTAGCAATTCATATTTTCTTCGTCTATCGGATAAAATCTTCCGTGTATTGGTGAGACCTTGACTGTAAAATCTGGCATCAAGTACACTCTACCCACAACTACAGTATTTCCAGCAGCATCGGCAAGTTGCTCCTATATTGATTGTGTGGCAGTGTGAAACAAGTGAGGAGCTGGAATGTAATCATTTAACTTCAGCATTACGCTGTGTAAGCTGTTTCACCAAATTTAGGCCAATTTGCTCTTTTCTAAACCACCTCTTCACAGATAATGTACAGGGACATAAGGTCTGAATTAAGTCGAGTTAATTGTATAAATAAGTTGCCCCGGCACTGAGACACAAACCTGAGCAGTGTAAATGAAATCCAGTGTGCCAAATACTGGTTGTCGTGAGATTTACTTTGTGGTACACTGAGCTAGCTCAATGATTTAGAGAGCAGCCGAACCTTCTATTCATGCTCTGTGTCAAAGTGATGTCTGTGCTAGAAACAAGTTCATCAGGTCACACATTCATTATTTCATCAGGCAGTCGAGTTTGTGTTAGCGCCAACCAAATGCATAATCTAACCCTAGAGTTACCACAAACTGGCATCATATTGCTCGGCGTAACGTACCTTTGGTTCCAGAGTGTTCTCTGTCAGACGGGTATTCAGATCGGTCCTCTCCATTGCTCTCATCCACTTCAGCCACTGTGGTGAGCTCTGGTTCACTCTTATACAGCCGGTAGTCTGGGCCCTGCAGATGAGAGAGAACAAGCTCAACACACACACACACACGCACACACACACATTGATCTATAGACGTGATTGATTTATAGTCATGGAGAGTTTGGCTCCAAAGTAAGATATCAAACATTTGACAATAATTGACATTTTCTCTTACAGAATGAATTCAGAGACGGTGGCAAACAGACATCTCTTTTACAGACTTGGCAATCTTAAAAACATAAATGTATACAGCTTGAAGAAAAACTCTCCATGTTGTTTTGAGTATGACACATCATTTTACAGCCAAATGAAAAAGTAGGCAGCAGTCAAACAGTCAAACATGGACAAAATACAGCAAAACAAACAAAATTGCTACTTTTCAACACACAGAAAAGGAAAACAAGAAGGCAATTCAATTAAAAAGAGAAACAAAAAGACACACGAGTGAGGCTTCATCCAATGAACTGAAAATATAAGATAATGGAAGTATGGCATCAAGTGAATAAAGGGATTAAAAAAAAAATCAAAAAGACATGAAATGTCCGTCAAAATGAAAGTGAGACCCATCACAGCGAGCAATGACGTGTGATGACACAGATGAGGGCGGGCTCAGCCAGGAGGTCGACGAGTCAACAAGCTTACACTGTGCGTGCCATTCCTGTGACTGGCCTTCCTGTCCTCCGGCCTGTGGAGCGATGGAGGGCGCACACCAGCATGAGAGGGCATAGGGGGCACGGTGGGGGGGTCGGGCTCATAGGACTGGGGGAGGGGTGGCCGTGGGGGTACGGAGTCGTCCTCCTGAAGGATTGTACAGTGCATGACAGGACAGGAAGCAAAAGTGACACATGGCGCCCACCACGCACGCTCAAGGCAACCACCATCTGGTACAGAGCAGTTCTGGCCCACAAGATGGGCAAAAGCAGCTGATTTAGCCAGAGAGAGAGCGAGAGAGCGAGAGAGAGCTCCACAAGCTGTCACAGGGGGACCGACACCAGCAGCATGAGCAGGTCCATCGCTCAGCTAAAGCTGGTCATTGTGTACAGCTGTAGGGCTTCAACTACAGATTATCTTCATGAGCGATTCACTTGTTCACAATTAATAGATTAATTGTTTAGTCAATAAAATATGAGAAACTTTCCTTACGATGGTGTCCGAAACCCAAAGATAGCCAAAATATGAGAAAAGAGAAAAGAAACAAATATGCTGGAAGCAAATGTGTGCTTCATAAGTGACGTACAGCCTGTCTGATTAAATGCCTCATTGTTTCAGTGCAGAATTACATGAACATGTCCGTTAGTGGTGGTGCCTCACCTCATTGTTGTGTTGGCTGAAGTTGCTCTTGGGCCCATACAAGCTCATACTATCAGCTATTCTCTCGGCTTTATGTTTATTGAGGGCCTCCATCACATCTTGAATCCTCCAAAGTTCTTTCTGGATGCGGACGTGCTGCTGGCTGGGAGGCTCCGTCTGAGTGTGCACACCAAAAACACACACACACACACACACACACACACACACACACACAAAGGGGAAAGCAGAAGAGCAAGAGAGAGTGATGTGTAATTATCTCCTCACTGATGGCAGGGCACTTAAGAAGAGGATGTCCAGGCTGCTGTCTCCTCGGACTTCTCTACTCTGAATTAGCTCAACCAGGAATAGCCGTTAGAACAGTTTCTCTCTGTCTTCACACTCGTCCCGTGATGAAGGATAAGATAAAAGACAGACTTTTAATTAAGACCTGCTCCATCATCGCTGCAGTCATCAATCACTGACTACGTTGCTTTGATCGCTCACGCTGCAGCTAAGGGCACTGGAGCACAGAAATCTCCTTCGCTTTTCCCCGAAAGTCAAAGAGAATGTCTACAAAAAGGATGACTAGGTGTTCAAGGGAATCTGCCACAAATTAAGCATTTTTTTTTTTTAAAGCTTTGCAGTTTATGCTTCCCTAACCGAGGTCTGACTATTATGCCATGCCAGTTTTAGACAGTACAGATTAAAGCAGCGCAGCTTCAGTCTCAAGGATGATCCTACCTGAGGGCTTCCCAGTGCTTCAAGCTGTTCCAGGAGGTTGTTCTTAGCCAGAGTCACATCTCCTTCCAGCTGCTCGTACTCCCTCCACGACAGCTCCAACTCCTGGTTTGACAGAGACACACTTTGTGAATGACAAAAGAAAGAAAAAAAAAAAAAGCAGGCAAAAACTGTAATCTTCCTAGCACTGCGGTAGAACGAGAGCTTCAGTGTCCAGCATTAGTGCGCGCGAGTATGACTCACAGCTGCAATTCTGGAGAGCTCTCTGCAGGTGCCGAGCAGGCCGCTCTGCAGCAAGTCTCTCTGCTGGATAACACTCTGCATGGCAGCAGGGTGATCAGAGCCCATCTCTATCTCCTGGCTGGCTGAAAGCAGCGCCGTCTCCAGGGTGTGCTGAGGGAACACACGGCATCACAATCAGAAAACTTTAGTCATACGGGACGGTTGAAGCCGCTCTCTTCTCTGGCCCGTGCTCCCTGCTTTTAGCTCCCTCACTTCTAGCAAAGTTAAAATAAAGAAAAAAAAAAGGTATGTCTGCCCGTAACTTATTTTCTTTATCGGTAAAACTGTGTTTCATTTTTGTTATCAAGTGATTGCTGTTTATGAAAATAGGAATGCCCATCACCGCTGTTTTCGGAGTGAAAAATAAAAATAAGCAAAACTAATTGGAGGACCTTGAACCAGATATTGTTTGGTATCCCTACTTGAGCAATTACTTCATTCATGAATTCATAACCAAAACTTTCCATTTATGGTCTGTCAAATCAATTAATAAGCCAATCACATAATAACTTAATTTGAGTATGTTATGGTTATTTTGTTGTTTTTTATGGGCATGGAGGTAACTCCAAATAGCCTACAGATTATGCTACCTTTCACACTTTATTTCCACAAATAAACACATTTATGCAAGACATCTCTGCTTGCATAAGTGACTCCAATGTCGAGTTAGATATGGTGAATAAACAGTGCATTACTGTTGTTGCAGTGTGTACTTCTAACTTGGTATGTGTGTCTGTATGCATCAAAGCTGCACAGCAACCACAGTCTGCTGACAGCGGACAGTCAGAAACAGTAATCTGTGAAACCCTTGCAAGCCAGACGAGTCTTGCAAGTTGACGACAGTAGCTAGGCTATAAACACACACTATAACAAATATAATAGACTTTTGTTTCTCTCATAAGCTTTTCCTATAATCTAAACAGAGTGTAAACTGTGTACTATATTTTGTTGTGTATTAAACAGTGTTTAGTAAGACCGCAACGATGACAGATGTGCAGTGTTTAGTCACCTTCTCTCTGTACAGCTGCTGAAGTTTGTCCTCCTGTGTCCTCACCACTTTGTCCTGCTCACACAACCTGCTAAGTTTGGTCTGTAGAGAAAACAGCAGAGACTCGTGACCCATCGCGTACGATGTAGTGGAATGGAGCATCATCGTGTGAGAGCGCGACACTGCACTTACATCAATGTCCACTTCCTCTGGCACACGGGGATAGGCGTGATCCCTGTAGTCTTCCGGACTCAGCTGTGAGGACAGACACAAACGTTAGCCGGAGACACCAAACACGCGCATACACATTAGAATCTGGAGATCTAATGCAGTGTCATGACGAGGGCTCTCTCACGGAGCCGCAGGATTTTGTCCTCGAGTGGAAACTCATATTTCTACTGAATCAGACGATCCGAGTTAACAAACCAACAGCGGGAGAGCAGCCAGTCTAAACACGCACTCCTCTCGGATGACTACCCACAGTTCTTTGCCTCCATCAGCACAACGCAGTGGTTTTATTGCAAATGCAAAAGGGGAGGGCACGTTAAACAAATCTTGCTTACTAAACTCTAGAGTCAGCTGCATCCACTTAACTGTGTTTTCTCCAGCAGATTGTGCCTGTTGGGTAGCTGTGGTCAGCTTAGTACGTGTGTGTTGCATTATGTGCAGTAATACGTAAAGATGGTCCCAGAATAACGACATAACCACTGATATTCTGAGGACTTTTGAACGTACTTTAGTAATGTTCAGGCTAAAATACAGACAAAGGCAATTCAATGGCAGACTGCATTGCAGTTACTTCTACACAAGTTAAAAAACGTATTAATACCACTCATCTAAAACAAAGTCAGTGCCCAAATGGGAAATTATTTCAACTGCATTGGATCCCACGTTTCCAGAAAACCCATTCTTCACATAATGCTTCATCATTCGTCCACTCTTCTGAATCTATCATCAATAAATGTGCCGTCCATAAATATTAGGACAGTGAGACATTTCTGTGTTGTTCTGTGTTTGTACTCACATTGGATATTAATAACTGTAAAAAGGTCAAAGTGCCAACTTTCAGCTTTCATTCACATCTTTATTGGGCCACAAAAACTGGTGGGAGCCCAGATTAATTAAAAGAATAACACGCACAAATTAAGTAATCATATTTAATAGACGGTCAATGACTAGCTAGTCTACAAACTACAGACATCAGCTGACACTTTGTATTTTCCCTCAGACGCTCTGCCAGGCCTGAACTACAGCCAGCTTCCCCCTTTTTGGGGGCTTTTTGCTTCTAGTTGCATTTCAGATCCCAGAAATGATTGTCTCTTTTGTCATACAGTATGTTTCGATTCATTACGCTGCACTAAACAAAAAGCCTTAAAACTAACTGTATGCACTTTAACTTCAGAGACAATATCACACTTCATATCCAATGTGCTGGTCTACAGAGTCAAAACGACGACAACAATGACTCACTGTCCAAAAGTGTCCAGACTCCACACTCACACCTGCACTCTCTCACACACATTTCTGTTGACACCTTTCTCCTCAGCTGGACCACACAGTACAGTTAAAGCAGGTGGAACCTGAGATCCACATGGCATTCCACACAGAAACATGCAGACTCTCCCACAGCGCAGGGGGGCGGGGGGGTTCACTGTGCTGCGGTGTGGATTTCGAGTGACATGGAGGAAGAGGGGGAGGAGGAGGGAGACAGACTTCTGGCTGAACAGGTGGGAATGCAGCTGTTGCCAGACCAGTATGGCAATAAATGGGTGGGATGGGGAGTCTTCGGCAGCACTTTTAGACCGCGAGAGACGGTCCCAAAAGTGGCAAAGTGATGTCATAGCCATCGTCACACACGCAAGCCGGCCCTTGTTGACCTTTCCACCAGCAGAACAACAAGAGGGGGGGTGAGAGGGAAGTGATGCGGACAGAGAACATTCACCTAGAAAACATCTGACTATATAGGTACACTACTCCACAGCGGATACTATATACTCAGTTTTAGACCGCTTAATCCTAACAAAAAACGAATTATAACAGCAGTTGTAGACTCCAAATTAACTGTAAACAGAGTAGAACTTTGGTGTGGATATTTGTTTTAAGATACTGGGATGTTATTGTGTCCTAAATTAATCTAGTTTATAAACTATGCCATTAAAACAATCGTCTTCAGTTTCCACAGTAAGATATAGTATTTGGTAATGCGCTGGACTTAGAAGGGACATGTCTGACAACACAGAACTAAGTAACACTAATTAAGAGTCCCTCCGCCAAATCCAGGCGGCTCGTCTAATGAGAAGGAAAGCTGTCTGCAAGCGGTTATGAAAACATCCCACACCAACCTTCAATGGTTAAAACAGGACGAGTAGAGACTGGAGGCTTTGCTCTCTAACTGATTCAGGGACTCGCTGAGTGTTTTCTAAACATGTAGCAACTTCTACAGTAAACTATATTCAGCTCCTACACACAAACTTCATAAAAACGGTGACGTAAACACATCTCACTACTCTTTGACGAGTCATGCCCATATCGGGATGACTTCTCGCGACAAGAGAACAGTCAGAAGCGATGGATGAGGAGGTGCTGGTGATACAGACAATACAGGGAGACCAGTCTCAGGATGCCATGAGGACACCGAAGGAGGAGCATTGCAAAACAGACCAAAATAACAACAGCGACTGGTGAGGAGGAGGCGGAGCAAAGCCTTCGGCTGGCCTTACTTGCTGGTAAAGTTGAGGCCTCGGGGCAGAGTTCTCAATCAAAGAGTGAGTCATGACGATTAAAGGCTCATTTTCCTTCATCTAGTCCAGTGTGGAGAGGAGCGATACAGCAAGTGTCAGTTTAGAGCAGCGCTTCACTTCAGAGACAACCTCTCTCTCTCTCTCTCTCTCTCTCTCTCTCTCTCTCTCTCTCTCTCAAACAGGGATGGGTGCAGCAACGAGAAGCAGGAAGAGACGCTCACAAACAAGACAACAAAGCTGTAAAACGCTTACGTGGCAGTAGATGGTAAACACTTTCAGAGTGAGGAGCAAACATTACCTAATCCTCAGCGGTTACACAAATCTGAGGCAAGCACATTGAAATATGGCTTCATCGTCTCTATTTTTATTATCAGAAGTGTGGCCTTGTGCCTCTGTATGCTATATCACTCAAACTCACAAAGCACTTCAGAGCTATAAAATAACAGCAGATACAGTAACAGTTCAATGACATGATACACAAATCTCTATATGTGCTGCATATGTTGACATCTCTAGACTATACAGAATAGAGTGATGTCCAGATAATAAAGCTCACTATGAGTTTGGGGTTCGGACTAATGAATGCATGAATCTAGGCTCTAGCTTAGGCCATAAATGCTGTGGTATGTGGCATCGGTCCATGCTGTGTAGGAGAACATTAAATAAGAGTTAACAGGGCATCGAACAGGAAATCAAAAGGCTTTTTTCAGCAGACTGCACTGTTTAATACAACAATAGCAAAGCATTAAATGATCACTTGGGTTCATGACAGGAGACAGGGCCATGCAGTCATGCATTACCCCACCTGATTGTCCAAATACATGAGGTTCCTTTGGAGGTGATGGGAGAGAATGTCGTTCTAACGTCAGCAGCAAAAAGCAGAGGAAATAAAATGTAACAAGAGAGTGAGACCCAAGAAAAGGACGACGCAGTCTTTCTCTGACGCTCTCTTTCTCTCGCTCACACACACACACACACACACACGTCATTTACAGTGTGCCCAAATATGCACGGACAGAAAAGGAAGGCAGGACAAGTCAAGGTGAAGGAATCAGGTAGCAGGTGTACTCTTTAAAGTAACAGAGTGAGGGCACTATGGGAAAGACTAGAGCTCCTTAATGACCAAATTGTGCGGCCATGTACTGACACAATGTAGGGAAACATTAAGCTGAGGGTGAAATAATACTTAAACTGGATGTGAGTATCTTGATACTGAACCTACTAAACTCCATCAGGTAGGGCTACAATCTTTGGCTCCCTCATACCCAAGCATCCTTTGACCCGCATCAGGAAACTGTCAAGTCTGTACTCTGATGTCTTAGAGGAGACTCGGAATTAACATTTACGTACGCCAGTGGCCTTAACCTACTTAGCCGGTCACTCTTTAAGCTCTGATCACCAAATGGCTTTAAGTTTTCATTTCCGGCTAACATCTGCGTGGACCATTTAGAGAAGTGAAATGACTCAATCAACTGCTGGCTCAATTTGAAATGGATCAAATGTAATGATCCGATGAATATATGAAGTTGAATGCTGGTTGTGAAATAAGATACTTTCACATGTTTTGCGAAAAGTTGAAATTAGCTGATCCCTAAATATGATGAAGAGATAAGTTCAAGGCAAAGAAAATGCCTACTGTAGTGCCTTTTCTCCTTAAATCAGCCAGGTGTGAAGAACAAAAAAAAATTCCTCTGGATTGAGATGGATGATGGAAGTGGTTAAAGATGGCATACACACCACACGCTAACACACAAGCCTGCAGGAGCGTCTCTGGGGGCCTGACCTTTGGGTTGTCTCCATCCACGTTTAGTTGCATAAGCTGTGCTACAGTGTGCTCCCGGATACTGTTTAGCTCTGCCTGCTGCCGCCGCAGCTTTATCAGCAGCAGAGTCAGTTCCTCAGGCTGCGAGGAAAGGAGGGAGGGAGGGAGGGAGGGAGGGAAATACAGCCACAATAAAACAGGGACACACCGCAGAGGGAGTAGGAGAGAAAAGGAGAGAACACACCAGGACAGGAGATTTAGACATATCACGCTCCCAATAGGTGAATAGTTGCTGTATCTAGCTTTTCATGCAGCTCAGGGCCGTGAGATTATCCAAGGTGCAATCGCTGTCAGCAGCATGCAAATTCAACACGTCCACTCAAGACAGAGGAGCCGTTTAGCATGTATTACAGAATCCAGTTCACACTTTACCCGCTCCATGAGGACAGAGCACTGCGCACGGCTTTGACATAAATTCCTGATCTGGCTTAGAAAGTTGTGAGCGACGGGGTTTTTAAGTCTCAGGCTGATGTGAAGAGAGTCAAAAGGAGCTCCTGAAGTGAGAGCATACCCGAAATCCGACCACTTGGAAGTTCTGCCTCAATCTGTCTCTAAAGATTCTGTCACGATGTCTTCTTGGAAGGAAATAAAGGACAGAAAGAGGGAGAGAGGGAGAGAGGGAAAGAGGGACGGTAGGTGGTGTTCTAAAAATAGCCTTGTCTGTCAAAGAAGTCCAATTAAACCCAAATGATTAACCGAGTGCGCTACACACTTATTCAAGTGTGAAATCACTGGGTGGTGTATTACAGAAATTCAGTTAGAGGACAGTGATGGACACAGAAGAGGACAACATGGATACGAACGTACCGTTTTGCCTTGGAGAGACTGGGCAGTGATAGTCTGGACCGGGATCCCTGCAGGCATGGACCTCCTGTCAGGTGGGTAGGCATACTGCAGGACATTTAAAACAGGTTCAAATGTGGATGTGCTTTAAATTGTCATTAACAACCATGTACTTGTACATATCCTTAGTGGTGTTTAGCCATTTATACTCCGTTTTATTTGCCAAAAATATTGAGATCCTGTCACCACTAACACAACGAAGATGACGTAAATAAAAACTTAATAAGCAACATTTCTTTTCCATGAACCGATTATCCAAAGTACATGCTGTCAACAGCTTTTCAAAGGACTATTTCTGAAGTAAATGGAAACTGTTGGCAGCATGCTCCACACTCTGCATAACACAGCACTACATGAAGTGATGAAAACATTTGTACGTGTGCCTTAACTGACCTTGTTGAGTTGTGGCCTGTGCCGTCTGTCGATGCTCATGTCTCCTCGGTAGACGGGAGAGGACACCTCTGAACGAGCACTGCTCATGTTGTAGGATCGCATCGGAGAGTAGCCCCTGTACATGGCCAGGGAGCCGTGGGAGGGCGAGGGGGGGATGGAGTGGATCGGTGCGGCGTGATCCGACAGGTTGATCATGGTTTTGGGACTGGCCATGTTGCTGTAGAGCCCCGGCGGCTGGGTGTAGCCCTGCCTCTGCTGCCACTCGAACAGCTGCCACATGGTGTCGTCGCGTATGGAGCGGCGCTTGTCCACCGGAGAGGGACCCAGGGCCTGGTCGTACAGCGACGGCGACATGCTGCAGATGCTGTCCCTCTGTGCCATGCTATTCCTGGGCATGCTGCAGTAGCCGTCGCCATAGTGAGGCATGTATGGCACCCGGTGGCTTGGCATGTTTCTGGGCAGCGTCTGGTATGATGTGATGCTGGGGGGGGGGGGGGGGGGGGCGCAGATACAACAGTGTTCAGTGAAAGGAAAACAATTTAGTCGTAGCATTTACAAACGATTACTATTTACACAACAATATATAGCTATGAAAGTAGATAATGCATCTCTGATGCATTATCTACTTTCATAGCTATATATTGTTATTAGGAAATGATCCTCTGCCATCAAAGGAGGTACAGCAATTGAATAAGTCTTCAACTACTTTATTATTTGGTGTATTTATTTTCCTTAAATTGGATTTTGTGTCATTAATAATAGGTTGAAAGTAGAGACAAAGTTGTTTGTTTGTAGTCGATTATACTTTAATTTCTCTGATTTTTTTAATCTTAAATAACACAAAACAAAAACACCCAATTATAACTGGCTAGCTTTCTCCCTCATCAAAGCATTGTCATGTTATGATACAGCAAATCAGTAAAAGGTTTTGACTTTGCCTTTAAAACAAAAAACTTTGATAACAAATGATCCCTTTCCAGTGATAACAAAGCTTTGAAAAGCTCCACTTCCACAGCGAGTTCAAAGTCAGTGCATCCGTCAGAGAGAGCTTCCTGTTCAGACTAAACCGTCTGTTAAAGTCAGTAGCATTGAACTACATTGAAAATAAGCATTATTCTGGAGAGCATGTAGTGACAAACAGAGACGGTAGAGTTTACACTCTTATCACAGAGGACCACTACAGAAACAAGGAGCTAGGATCTTTATAAATTCATGCTTTGCTCAAAGCGAGTATTTTTTTATTACTCAAGGAGTGAATGGAGGCAAAGAGGTAAAGACTGTGTCAAACCAGAGCGCAAGCCAGGTGACGATAAACAGATGGAGGGACAGACACACTGACAGACGGGCAGACAGACGCAGTGAGAGAGAAAGATTAATCCCAACCAATTAAAAATGGGACTCTCACAGCAGGCCCGCTGGCAGCCAGTAACTGTGGCTCCCGGCTCTGCCCAGCTATTGTTGATCCCCAGTTCTACTTACTATTACACTTAACAGCGGAGTATCGAAGCGTTTAAATCATGATGAGGAGCATGTGAATCCTCTGGCTTTAAACAAAACAGCTTTTGAGAGAAATAGGACTAAGAAGCTTTGGTCTGCACATGTACTGCACGTGTTCACTCAGATGCTGAAGGAGAACCCCTCCCGTCTCAAGATGAGGTCGAATCAGCAGTTCTCGATAAATTCAGCCAAGTTCTCTTTTGCGTTGGCGAAGGAGGACAAGATTCGACTCTTGTGCAATAACCTAAAAAACATGTGCTGACATATTTTCTCCTCTTGCAGCACAAATAGTTTAAGATCAGATAATGAAAAAATTGACACAATACGGTGTTTTTCTTTTGTTTATCATATAATCAAGCCAAACCTCCTGGTGTCATCATCCTGGTTACGCCCTCTCTGACTACGGACCCACTGCTCCAGTTGCTGCATGGAGCTGGTCCTGCTCAGGGTGCGGTCTGGCTCATGAGGGGGACTTTGCCGAGGTGGGACTGCGCTCCCATCAGGTGGACAATGCTCTCCGGATCCATTGACCTGGGGGCCGCGGAGGGAGCCGTCCGTTTCCGTGGGAGTCTGCAGCGAGGCGAGGTTACCCTTGATGGCTGCCGCCTGGGCCGGCTGCAGTTTGATGCTGTTGATCTTGGTGAGCGGGCGCTCGCGCTCCGCCCCCTCCTTCTGGAAGCCGTAGCGTTCGGCGTCTTGCTGCTTTCTCTCTTCGTCCGCCGCAGCGCGCTCGCGGTCGACCTCGCGGTTCAGTTGATTGTTCTGGATTTCGGGCTGTGTGAGGGGAGGCCTGTGGTTGGCCACGTGATTGATCTCCTGCGGTCCACACTGCTCCACTTTTAGCCTGTCCAACCTGATAAAGACAAAGAGGAGGCCTTATAACGAGAAACATCTAAGACCCGGTGTTAGCTCAAGGCAATCAAGACACATGACATCACCTGCGCAGAGATGGAAAGAGGATTACTACATTAGATTCAATGGGAAGTCCTAATGCATTGCCTTTGTGAACCCTGCTAATGGGGCAGCTCTGAACCGGGGTGGAGGTGCACAATGTTTCTTCCAGCTGCCGGAGGAGGCCAGGCGTGTGAAAGGAAATCAGATATCTCCAATAAAACGTTTGCCTCTTCTGGGGCACGTCACGAAGGTGCTGCTCAGACTCCGGTGCTCCATTTGCAGCTTCCTCTCGCCTCCTCTCTAGAAGGCCTATATACAGCTCTGTGCTCCTTGGGGAGGTCTCCGGAGGTAATCCACACCACTACTCCTTGGCCTTAGACTGACTCAAGGTCACGGCTTCAAAGTTTGGCAAATTCCCCTTAGCAGCACGGCTCACTGGGCTAGCAATAGGAGGGGAGTAGGAAAGGCTTTCCTTCAGACTTTCCACACTTTTAAATAGCAGCACTAGTCACGTAATGTCTTCCCCAGCCATCTGCGGCTCCACCACACCAGTAGAGCACACATTTGGTCCAAAGAAAGGTCCGTGTGCATTTACTCATACTTTAGAAGAGATTTTGAAGAGATTGTAGAAACACTTAAAGGCAAAGGTCTTTAACAGATAAGGGTTTGGGCTGCCATGTCTTGTTCTTTTAGACCACATTCAAATGAAAAGATATGATAATCCTGTCCATAGAATACAATACACTAGATACTTTATAATCAGAATAGCCTTTAGTCTAGATAGACATTGTCTTATAACAGGATCTCACTGTCCTTTTGCTATTCAGTGAATTTCAGGCACGACTGGTCTGTGTAATTACAAAGCACTCCACCACTACGCCTCTGCTCACCCATGTAAAAGGAGGGCATTAGACAGGCGGGCTGCCAAATGACAGACATTTAACACAGTCAAAAAAAAAAAAAAAGAAGAGAAAAAAACCCTATCCTGATGAGTCACTGATCCTCATCAGCCAGCGCAGCTTGTGCACAACATCCCCAGATCAACCGGCACCATGCATGTACGCCCACATGGCATTCGTGTGTACGTTACTCTGTAAAAAGAGTTAAAAGAGTTAAAGACAGTCCAGAAATGTCAGAACCGGGTGGTGAACTGTTGCTTAAGAACGTAACAGGCTTAGCAGAGGGATTTAAAAGCACTTGCTTCCAGCACAAATGCAAGAAAAAGAAAAAATCTGGATTGAGAATCAAACCAAGGAACTAAGTCAATCCAAATGCCATATTTCAAATGTCTTTTTCTCCATTCAGAAGCGAAACAACCTACTGTTAATCTACAGGCTCTCTGTAGAAAATGACTACAGTCGTGATCCTTTTACAAACCTTTTGACTGGCTCTGAATGCAAAAGTGCAGCATCCGTCATTACTTTCATCCACGCCTCCATCTCTTTGGCGGTGTCGGAGCAGAAATAGTACGTCCGCATGTTGGGATGCGTTGCCTGTTGTGACAGTGGACAGGAAAAGTGACACACAGAGAAAGTTACCTGAAAGAGAGAAGAGAAGAGCATCAAGTCAACTTTAACCCTTACTGGTGACTCACGTTTGCTTTTATGTGAGTTTATCACTCAATAGGAATTATGTAGAGCAGCTGAGGCCCTTTGTGAGGAGACAATCACTTGAATGCACGTCATTTGTTTCAACAAATAGTGATGAAAAATGTGATGGTTTGTGAAATACTCCTGGCTGTGGGTAAATCAAACAATGAGTAACTGGAGTGTCATGCACACCACTAGATTAGGGGAGTAAATGTGCCACAATACTGTAGGACTTACCATGCAGTTCATTGTATGGCAGACGCATTGTTCCTTAGTTGCTCTGTTCCCTTGCAGTGAACAAACCAATATATTGTTAAAGCCAGACACAGAGAGAGAAAAACAGAATGTTTAGTGAACAACCTCAATATCCTGTTTACCAATGTCTGAAAAACAGTCAGTGCTCCAATTACATGAGCATTATCTTGGGAAATAAGGAACCTTTAATGACATAGCCGCTTAAGAGACAGGAAAAGTTTGAAATGAAAAATATCAGCCCATTCCTGAGCAAATCACTGTAAACTGAAGAGGTCGTGGGCTGCTCTCGTGTTTCTCTCTCTCTCTCTCTCTCTCTCTCTCTCTCTCTCTCTCTCTCTCTCTCTCTCTCTCTGAAAAGGAGTGGGCTGTGTGGTTGGAGAGACCTTGAGCAGACTCCTGGGCGTCTGCGTTTGGCTGTACTTGGCAGGATAACTTTGTTGTCTCTTCGGGTTTATGAAGGACCCACAGTCAAATAGTGTACACATCACTGAGATCCCATTAAATATGCCTGTTGCCCTGCAACTTGGGGTTTCCCAGTCAACTGGCAAGTGCTTTCTTTGCTTTCTTGCATTGAGCAGAGTGCAGCTGAAGTTTTGAAAAATGACTTGCAGTACTTCACTCTCAGTCAATTGGAAATTACAAGGAACTTTAATTTTGTGTCAACAAACCAGAACCGGGTCTGACGGTCTGAACCCCTCAGTCCTGGTTCTGGTTCTTCAGCCCACGGCAGCCGGTCGCTGCTGGAGGCCCGATGAGTGTACACAGAGCTTTATGTACACTCATGATGTACTTTTTCTCTTAAATGTGCTGTCTTACAAAGTTTGAGAGGAATGAAAACATGCACTGACCTTGAAGGCATATTTCCTGTTAATGTGGTCGTCCACAGACAGCATGGACACACGGAAGCTCGGCAGGAGGATGCTGCCAAGTATCCCCTCCTCCTTTTCATCTGGAGAGGAAAAAACAACGCAATGCATCAGTCAGCTTCCATTTCTCCATGATATTGCACTAAAATCTTATGTGGAACACTCATTTTTGTAAACATAAAAAAAGGGCCAGAAGACAAACCAAGTGGAAAGCGAGATGAAATGTAAAAAGAGGCGTGTGTTGGTCAGATGAGCAGTGTCCAATCAGTGGAAAAGATGAGCATTGATTCAATGTCCTATGCAGCTCGGCCACTCTAATCCTCGTTAAGTTAGCAGACAGGGCTCCACATTAACAATGGAGCACTCTCCACGGGGGGGATTAGATTGAATCCCGGGTTTTAAGCAGAGAATTGCTTAACCTCCTAATTTGTTCTAAGCAATCTGCATTGCAAACCCAAAAACAGTGCAGGAAAAACAAAATATATCAGCGAAGTGACAGCTGCCGTCCCAAAACGTGCATTTGCTTTGTCTGATTGGTGTGTGTGTGTGTGTGTGTGTGTGTGTGTGTGTGTGTTGACTGGGGATGTTTGTGTCAGGAGACTTTAACACAAACTGGTCGTAACTGGGATGAACGGTGAGTCATATTTTGGGGGATAGGTGGTATCTGAACTCTGGTCAACCTCTGCTAGTTACAGTAAGTTTGCGCTGCGGGGCATTGGAGCCCATTGCTGAAGTCTGAAGGATCAATTGGTTCGCCAGCATCACCTGCAGCCCCCTAGCCCCACATGTATTTATTTACCCGCTCTCTGTGTCTCTGCACGGTGGGGATCCTAAGCTCACAATAACAGTCTGATATCTACAGCAGATAGCGGTTGAGCTTAGTTGAGGGGCGTCGCAGTTCACGACCTCTCTGCCTACTCTCTGCTGATGGGTGGATTTCTCTACATGTCCGTCTGGATAAAGCCTTTGGGCTTTATTCTTTGGGTCCGCTGCTGTCTGTGGCTTTTATCAGCCAGTGGGCAGAAAGAAGGCGACAGGCCTGGCAGACACCAGAAATAACACAGACTAGATGTCATCCTGATCAGCACAAACGATGACTGTATCCACATCATGTGGACTTCTATTCTCCCTGTAGCAGCAGCCGGACAGTAGACTTTGACTGCAATTACTTTACATTGAGCCACAGGATTCGCTTCTTTTCTTTTCTGTAGGCACACTCTCTAATGTTCTCCTGGACACAGCTGTGTCAATATTGGATGTGAACATTAGTGCTGCGTGAGCGACGCCAGGACGCCCAGTCAACAGCATCTTATAAAAAAAGATCACATCTAAAACTTGTTTTGTTAAAGAGGAGGGTTTGTAAGGACAGACACATTTTAGTAACTAAATGGAATTTGTTTAAACTGGACTGGGATTCCCTCAATAAGCCTATCATGAAATAGAAATTCATTCAAGTTTCTGCTTCAGTATAAAAAGACATGTTTGTTAATAGGTTGTCTTCACTCAATTACAGAACTATGTAAATACCACACATATTCAGAAGGATGATGACAGTGATAGTATAGCAGTGGTCCCTTCAATGTGGAATTAGAAGAGGATCGTTAAATGTTAGCAAGATAAATGTAGTTTAATGTGACTGAATCTAACAACTACGCTGGTTTGCAACCACTGTATCGAAACAGCATCATCTCTGGAACCTTCTTTCATGACTTAACCTTAGCGTGAAATCCCATTTCCTGCTATGCTTTCTCTATCAACAGTATGGCCGCATCCAAGCTTTATTTAAAGCCCTGGCTGTGCTTGGGGGGATATAATGATCACTCAAATGGCAAATCAGATGACAGGAGAGGCATTTCAATGAATACGTCTCCTTGGGTGGTCCTGTCAGGCTGCTCACCACGGGGCCCTCGGATCCAAATATTATTAACATTTATTATGGCTCTGAAGGGCACATCAGCCCTGAGAACTACTAATGGAAGAACAGTGTTGTTGTAATGAGTGCAGCACTAATGCAACATGAAGACGGGACTCACCTCTGTAGTAGAAGAGGCACAGATCAGACAGCACGAACCACCTCTTCTTCCACAGCTTCATCCCCGTGCTGTCCTGAAAACACACCAGAGCAACAGGGAACAGTTACTGACTGTGGAAAAGTACTTGCTGTGATCCACTGGCTAACCCTTCTTGCATTTAATTAGTTAAATTGTTTAACTGCCGGTCTGCTTATAGTTATATAGTTACAGATGAATAGTACATTCAAAAAGACTGAAACCTCATTTGTTTGAATTATGTGTTATAATCCGATGCCTCCAACTGATTAATAGGTCATCTACAAACCAGATATCACTTCCTGTTTGCTCTTTCTGCACACCGGGGTCTAAAAGGCCTCCTTGGATTCCTTTTTGTATCTTGTACGTACATACATTCATTAATGGAGACCGTGTGGAAACAACATTTCTGCCACTCAGAAGTTCGATATTGGCCCGAGATGGAGTAATGGGTACTTCATTTGATTTCTGTCATGAAATAAACATAATAGAGAAGAGTACTCCGCCGTGTGTGTAGAAATGCAACCAAATAAACAGCGTTCCCTTTTAAAGAAGAAGTATGTTGTTCAATGGGCAACAGAAATAAATCTCCTCTGCTTAAAATGTTCTTTGGTATCGCAATGCTGTGATCAAAGGGGTTTCCAGGCTGCGGCTTGAAAAGGATGAAGGGTGAGGAAGAGGGTATTAACTCCCCCGTTCGCTTTATTGGAAAACTTGAGCAGAGTCCTTAATCGTGGATTCCACCCGGAGACAAAAGCAGGGGGAGGGCCCTCCACGAGTCTGTCATTATGGTCAAACGGCATGTGGGCTGCAGTTTACTTTAAATGGAAATTCACTTCCACGAACCAGCATGTTTAACACATTAGTATCAAAAAGTCGCAATACCAGATGCTGCTCAGCGCGTCCATGATGGAGGCACATCAGAAATGCAACGGAGAGATTCAAACCTCCTGCGTCCATTAATTCATCACCTTCCCTCTGTTCAATCAAGGTCCTAACCACTCATTTTACGACGTGTTCATGAATACACTTTGTCAGAAGTTCTGTCAGATCGTGCTCCGTTCAGGCGGGAAAAAGAAAAACGAGGCGTTCACCATCACATCAATCACTGTGGCATTTTGCTCTCCCAGTGGATCAGCTGAAGGGCTGCACAGCTTTTCCTCAGCCAAGGGCTTCAATAGCTTCCAGGTCTCAATGAGGCGGGGAAATAAAAGTGCAAATCCAGCCTTTATTCAGGGTAGCAGATTTGTGAGTCTTCTGCTTGATCTACATCACCCTGATTGAGGTCCCCAAAGAAACAGCAGCTGGCAGCTGTACCAAAGGAAGCCATCGTGTGTTCACAAAACTGCGCCGGGAGGCTGCAATCAAAAGTAAATGAGTCTTCCACTTAGGAAGCATGAGAGATTCCTGTCTGACAAAGAGCTGCCTCAAGCACCCCCTCTTCACCCTCCTGTGAGTAACCAGGGAGCTGTGATGAGGGATTGATATTTAAACAGCGCCCGCGCTGGACGACTGGCTGAGCAGAGACACTGGACAAAGAACTGCTCGGACCCTGTAAGACATCGAAAAGCTTCCTTTGTGCTTAAGACTGTTGCTGCAACTCTTACCATTGTTCTGTGTGTAAAGGAGGAACGTCGTATAAACACAGAGTTTCCATTCACAAGATGTTCTAAGCTTAATTCATGGACTTTCCCAAAATAGTTTATAAAATATGTTTCTAAATATCACATTGCAAATGAACCAGAACAAATATGCATATCACATACACAACAACTATTAGATAGACCCAAGAAATGCACGACTGTTATATTATTTTTGAATTATAATTAGTTATTTTGTCTTTTGCTGTGTTTTCAATAGGTTGCAGTGTTCTTGTGACTTTATGTTTGATTATTATTTTATGTAAAAAATGCAAAACATCAATGTATTTACCAGATTTCATGGCCATCCATCCAATAGCTGTTGAGACAATTTAGTCGTGACAGACCGACACACCGCTGAGCATGATGCCAAGTTACCGGTTCTGCTTCTCATCACATTATATGATTCATTGTTATGTTTTCCTTGAAGTCCGACAAAATCGCTCACCTGTTTATAAAGCCAGTTTCTCTTGATCACCGGGGCACTGGGATTCCTCCGGATGGAGTTGGATCTCTTCCCAAAGTTGTGGATTTTATTGGAAGGTCTTGATGGCTAGAAACACAGTATGAATGAGTAAATGGCAAGGTGAACTTTTAAACTTCTAGACTGGTTTTCCATTATTTCCCAAACTGAACTCTGTCACTCACTCTTTCTGCTGGGCTAGTGGGGTTTGCGGCGTAGTCTGAGCCGCCCGTGTAGTTGGAGGCCTCACTCATGGTGCTTAGTGGCCGATCCTTCTGGTCATTCACCGGCACTTTGGAGGCAGATCTAAAAGCAAAAAGTATGCCAAGAGCATGAAGGCAAATCATCAGAAAAAGAATGGTTACACAAGAAATATAGCCAATGTATGTCTCCTGACCTTGATAAAAAGAAAAAGAGAGAATAGGAAGAAGCAGACTTTATCGTCTGTTCCCCCATCTCTCTGAAGTTCAAATTGTTATAATGAGATCTCAACATGGGCCTATGAATCATGCCAATTACTCCCACCATGTCACTGCAGATACATTCCCGGTAGTCTTACAGCTTTAAATGGACTGCAAAGTCCGCCTGACCGATCGAAATGCAGCAGTTGCTGCAGTGAATCAGGTCAGGATGCCTCTGGAAACAAAACTATTTGAAAGCAAAACTTGAAAGCATACCGAGTTCAACACGTTTGCTGTAGGTTAGAACACCTTGTCTCTGGCCCATGGAGATACAGTACATCACCGAGGAAAGGGAACAGCGCTGTGGCCTAGAGGGAACAAGGCAGCGCAACCAGAGTAGAGCAGAAATACTGCAAAATCCCTCAGATATATTGGTTTTATTAGGTCCCTGAATAAGGACAGAAACCGCCAACCCTGTACAGCAAACCCCCCCCCCCCCTCCCCCTCCCCCGTCTAACCTGCCCATATGACGAATGAGCCAACGTTCAAAACCTTCACATTACATTGCACCATCCAGCATAAATGATGCGTCATCTACATGTACTTTACATCCATCAGTACCAACTAGATCAATCTGTCAATCCCTTAGAAACACACACAAGACTATTAACACTCCAAAAAAAAAGGAAACTCAAGAGTCAATTTAGAAATGCTTTAACAATCCAGACTCCATGCTGTTATACTCAAGGTGCACACACATGAGGAGGGATCACAACAGCAGGCAACACACACAGGACGTGCATTCCCGTGCAGCACAGTGACAGGTCTGATACTACCAAAGACAACGATGATGATCACAGACTAACTGCGTCTTATCGGTATTTACAAGAAAAGTTAGATGCTTTGTTTGTTTCCGAGGTGAGGCTGCAAGAAGCACCGATCTAAGCATTATGTACACGAGAATTTCAGACACAAGAAAATTGTTCTTATTGTTATAGTTGTTAGCTGTTACCAAAGCTACCAAATACAAAAGGGGGTTCTGTATGGAGGGGACTCATCAAGGAAGTCATTGGCTGGACAAGTGGGTGACTAAAGCGCTCTCGAGCTGAAGTGGATACAATTTTCAACTCACAGCTCTGAAATAGCTGCCGAGATTCGCCGTCTTCTCCCTCTAACGACCTCGCTCAAGAAAATGAGCTCGGAGGATTTGCAGCACTTCCAGTGAAGTCCCGAGTGAACTATAATCAATGGCGTGTCGACCAGCCAACAAAAACACGTCGGTTGGGAGGGGCGGAGAAAACGGCCCGACTCTGGTGTAGGAGAGGTGTCGCTCTATTTGATTCTCTATTAGGCCAGCAAACCATTTACAGTCTCTTTGAGCTGCAGTGTGTGTGTGTGTGTGTGTGTGTGTGTTGGGGTTTTGTTGATAAGTAGTTTGGGCCCGATAATCGATCTGTATGCAGCCAAATTGAAAAGTAGTGTGTGTGTGTGTGTGTGTGTGTGTATCAATGCTTTAGTGTAAGATCTGGCCTGAGATGGAGAACGATAGAATAAACGGTCCTCATGCACAGCGTGAAAACATCTTATGGCACTACGGTACATATTGTATTTGGGTATTCAAAAGTAAGCGGAAAAAAGGTTCCTCAATAATGTGTTTTACTGTGAACACAATAAGTGTTAAGACGAAAAGCAACAATCACAAAAAAGGTTCTAGGATTAAATACAAAATCATAATATTAGAGAAAAACTTGAAAGTTGTTTGATCAAAACCCAAATGTGTTCAGTTTACTACGACACACACAACAACTAAAAGAAGCAAATCCTAAGAACTGAGCAGCAGCAGCGAGGTCATTTCTGGTGTTTGAGCATGAAAAACTTGAATGACTTAAAGTTAACACATTATCTAAATAGTTGCTGGTTAATTGATCAATCGACTGATCGCTTCAGCACTAGTTTACCTTTGTACAGTGTAGGCTTGTTCAATCCCAAAACCAACACAACATAGTTGAAACAACTATGAATAAAGCCGAGATGATGCGTGTTCAGAGGAAAACTCTTCACCTCGTTTAACTCTTTGAGGTATTCCACTTCTGGGCCTCTCCAGCATTCACTTCTCAACCACTCGCAGGGAAAACAAAGCACACCCGCAAACGGAGACCACCGAATGCTTCACATCTATATTTTCAACTATAAAATGTTATCATGAACCTCCACAACATGCAGTTTTGAGTGTCTGTCTGGCTTAAAATGACTACTTTCCTGTTTAGCTTGGTGCTCGTCTCCAGACACACAGGAACAGCTGTAGCGAAACGACTTTGTGTTTACCACGGCAAAGTCAACAACATCTCATATTGAAGCCTGAAAATCATTACTATGTCTACCTCCAAAGGGTGTTTACTTTGGTAAAATGTTGGCTTGGTTTATGTGCAGATACAGCGTAGGTTAACCGAAACACTACGGAGGGGCTGCGTGTCCATCAGAGGGCCAACACACAACCCCGCACATTAAGAGTAACCCTCCACGTATCAGTGTGTCACACCACTGCCGGGTTCGCCATGGATTTAGTGTGCCTGTGTGTGCAAAAAGAGTGAGGAGGGATTACACTGCCACTGAAGCTTGGCGCTCTAAGCACACTGGGGGGGGGGGGGGGGGGGGGGGGGGGGGGGGGGGGGGGGGGGG